AAAAGGGAACTTGAATGGAGCGTATTATATGTTAATTGTAATTCACTGCAATATTGTGTAGTTAAGGTGCTAATTATAAAAATGTGAAGATATATCGTATATTGCTGTGAGAAAACAGTACAAAACTTTGTATATGCTATAGATGAAAATTGGAAGTGAATAAAAATGCTTGGGAGATTATGAGCAGTTTTTCCTTTAAAAACAATTACCTTCAGTGCTACTATCATTCCTGCAATCTTGATGGAACCAAGTGTAAATAATATTCCTATTCTTTGCTAGATTCCAAATAGAATAAATAACAATTAAAGGAGTGACATGTAGTGGTCAAAATAGTTTCTTCTGATGAAGCTGATATTGAAATGTGTAGCTGAAGTGTAAGCCACATTATGTCTGTCACCAAAACTCAAATTAAGCTCCTCAATCACAGCAACACCTCAGCCCATGTATCCTTCATTCCCTATCACTTCCTACCCTCAGTTAGAGCAGGGCCTATCTCTTAAGAAGGAATGTTAGAACAGATATTCTCTGTTGGTAGGCTAATCCCAAGAAATAATTGGGATAAATTGAATTCATCCTGCTTGTTCTTCTCAAATTTATTAGTTAGATAAGTCACTTCACCTGCAGTGAATAAAGGGCTATAGAAAGGCTAGTAGTTAGTGTTTGAATTTTTACCACAAAGAAGGAGGAATTAGGGGGAGTTGAAGATAAGTTCTAATGGCTCCATTCATTTTAAAGTGAGATTCACATGTATGTTTTGGCATTCATTAATTAGGTTACTTGCTAAAGTATAGTTGCTGAAGTTTAATTATTTTTATTTTTGTTAGAGTCTTCAGTATATCCTAATCATTAATGTATTTTCTGTTTTTAGGCGTTTAAATGCAGAATTGGAAGCAAAAACAGCTGACCTGGTTCGACAAGCTGATGAAGTAATAGTAAGTAATGTACAATTATTAATAATTCCATGTAATTCTAGTACCATAAAGTTAATATTGGAGAGTAGTTATATAGAGTTAACACTGATCATTCAGTAGGGAGGGAAATAAAATGTCTCTAAATAAAAGTTGAATAAAAGATAACAATCATCACTAATACTTAGATAATTTATTACATTCTGCACTTGGATGTTACTCAAATTCTTAAGAGTAGACTAAAATCATATTTATAATCAGGAAAAATGTGTGAGGTTTTATTACCTGATGATGTATTCAAGTATATTATTCCTCATTCTAGTTCTGAATTGGGTGATCCTATGTTATGCATCTCTTCTTAAGCATCAACTTCCCCATTATTAATTGGTAGGCTAGAGTAATCCTCCTTAGGGGAGTAAAGTGTCTGCTTTCAAGCTTTTACCAGTTTTTACCTTAATTATAATTCTCCTTTTCAATCTTCCCTATCCCTAAAAATGGAATTCATAGAGGCAGGGAAGGAAATCTAGGCAATATTTTAATG